GGTTATCTTTATTTATTTGCTGTCTCAGCTTTGTAGGAATCTTCCGCTGGGGTCTTGATTTAAACTCATTTGACATTTGCCAGCATATGATTAGTGGTTGACTGAAGTGCATATTACAAGTCAATGCTTTTTTAAAGCTAACCAGGGGTTAACTTTGTGACCATAGGTATGTTGAACTGCCTGCCTGCTAGAAGAGGGTTAGCATTCTAAAATGTTACAAGTCTGAACACCTCAGAGGTGTTGATACTAAATATTTTCACTTCAGAAATCCCTTTTTTCCATGTTTCTAAATTCTAAAACCAGTTCTGTGTATTTGGTACAGAGAAGAAGCTTCTGATATTTACAAGACAAATTTAGAAGAAATAATAAGACAATTGTAAAAGAGAAACAATCCAGGTTTGCTTAAGTTGGAATATTTCATTAGGGTAAATACTTCATTTTTAAAACAAAGTTCACTTGCCTTTTGAGCATTCATGTCTGGGTACTACCTGACTGGGATCAGGATTCCCAAAGCAGGAGCATAGATATAACAAATAATTGGCAATATTAAATTAAATAACAGACATTCTCACATGCTCACACCTGATGAAGACTTCATAGCGAAATGTTGTGTTTTCTCTCTTCTCTTTTCATCATGGGATAAACCTGTTAGTTGTTCCTTTTAAATAAAACATGAACATTGGAACACCCACATTTTCTGGTTAGTTGGTTATTCTTTGTTAAAAGCAATGGAATGTGTAATGTCAATATAGAAAACAAGAAACATTTTTAAACATTTTTTTTAAATACTTATCGGCAAAATATTACAATACATTTTACATGAAAATGTGTTTAGTAATTCAAGAATTCAATATGTTGTGTGAAAATAGTTTGGTATGGGTTGTGATTATTAGTGTAAAAGTCAAAATTGATTATGACATGGATTTAAAATACCCGACAGCACACCCCTTTAGTCATAATGAAAACTGACCAGACTGATCATATAGTTTCTTTGCTTCTCTGTCACAGGGAGATGATGAAAGACTGGGGAAGCACAAGTATAAAAAACAAATATTTTTTTACAACCCGTAAACATACAAACTATTATTTAGACAATTACAAAGACTGAGTTCCTGAGTCCATGTTTTCATCGGACAAAAGCTACCCTCTCTTATTCATTCAAATATGGACCACCCTAGTAGCAGAGCAATCAGCATCGCACCATATAGGAGAAATACTGGTTGTTTTACAGTTAAAGACCTCCCACAGATCAGTCTGCTCTCTTAAAATTAATATTACATTTTAATAACAGTTTCTTAAAGGCTTTGTCTGTTAGGTTTCTTTCTCAAATAAAAAAAAATCCCTTAACTTATAAATCTATTTCCAGGCTCTTATTTAGCAGTTATTTTGCTTTTATTAAGTGAAACTCCCATCCCACTGGAGAGAGCAATTATAGAACAAAACAGACCACATATGCATTGGGGAGCCCAACACAAACCGCACATAGTTCCAAAACATTATTTGTGGAGTACTCCTAAGGTGGGATCTGTTGATAACCTCATCTGAAACTGAAACTAATAAGCTGATATGTTACTTTTTGATGATGCAAAAAATATTACCTCAGATCACCTCTCAAATTGCTGTAATGTTTTATTTAATCTGTGCTCTTCTTGCCTCAGAAGGTCTGTCCTATTATGCTTTAGATGTCAAAGTGTAGGCCAAATTGCTGGTACTTTGGATCTAAAGAAAGGTGGAATTCACTCACAGGAGAATGAGAGCAAGAATTGTATTAAAGCAATTTACCTCTTTTCTTGCCGACACACAAATGTGATTGGGCATTTTCCTTCATCTCCACCCAATTATACCTTCCCATTTAGGGAACATGTTCAGTATGTGTAGCTAGGGATGGCTGGCACCTACTGTATTTCCTGTTTCTATTCCACTACCACTTAGCTCTTAGGCCATCCCTTACTAAGTAACTCATTATTAACTTACTACTTCACTTAGCTAAAAGCAGTACATATTTTATTCATGAATTTACTGTCTTCAATGCTACAGATTAAAATAATTTACAGAGAATCATAACTAACTTCAATCTTTTCATTTTCTAACAATTTGTATGGCAAACTGGTAACTTTTTACTTTTTTCTTTCTTGATTTTTCATGTGAGGTTTATCACCTCACACCCTTGCTACTTCAAGTGAAAAAAGAAGCCACAACTTTAGACACAAGGGTCAAATTCAGGATGGAAATAGGCCAAAATCAAAGGGCCATATCAGTTCAAATTAATCAAAAAAATTCAGAGCAAGCAGGGCAGAACATAATGAAAGAACACTGAAGATACAGTAGCAAAGTTGGCAATACTACACAATTTTAGAAAATGACTTTCATGTTTTACATATAATCTTTTGTTTCCAAGAAGAAATCGCTTTGGAGCTGCCGTTTACACTTTATATTGTCAATGAAATCTCTGAAAAATCCAACATTGTATTTGCATAAGAATTGCAAAACACTTGAGGGTGTGAACATGCAAAGTCCAGAAGTGAAAAGTACAGAGATGACCCCACTTGACCCTTGTCAAGAGGAAATCTGGAAGTGACATGTTATAAACCTCGTTCTCATCTGCCTAGTTAGACATATTGTATTTTGTTCTAAGAAGCAGGTCAAAGTACAGTAAGTCACTTCACAGGTGGACTACACAAGTGTTCTACAGTGCAGGGTACTACTGGTGACAGATTTCACCAAGGGCTATATGTAAGACTGAATTTTGTGCATATAGCAGAGATCTTATAAATGGTTGGCTGCAAGTACATTGTTAAGAACAATATAAGATGTATATTAACACTATTTTTTCATTGGATATGTAGCTACTTGGAAAACTTGGAAGAAGCAATTCCCCTTTTTCAAATTGAGGAAGAAAATGGAAGAAGCAAAAACTTCTGATCAGCTACACATCCTTTTTTACACAAAAGCATAATATGTATTATACAGTGTATCCAATTTTCTTAATCAATATCCTTTTCTTATTTGCAGTATTACAGTTTGTTTTATTCTAGTTAATTACAACTAGTTCTTCTGCATAGGGAGCATATTTCTCCCCATCACTTCAGTGTTAGCCTGTTGAGTAGTTTGCTTTAAGAGTATGCTATTCCTGCCAAGACATTTTATGAAAGTAGTAGAGCAGTTGTTCAGTAATTTTCTCAATGATACCTTCCTGATGGCATTCTATGTTGTACTGTACTGCGAATTTGAAAACCAAACAACCTTAAAGATCAGTTCCAGACAAATTATTTGTAGTGTATGAGTATTTTGTCTTGACATTATTCAAATCACCCTGATATGAAGTCTGTAGTACTAAAGAGACAGATGGGTACTGTAAAGTGACCTTGCAGAGAACAAAATGTCCCATTTATTGCATGGCATTTAATCAGAATTATTATTCATAACTTTGCTTATACCTAGAAGACTTAGTTATAATCCATAGTAAATGGTATTAAGCGATAAAATGTCTTCTTTATGTGGTAAGACCTTTGAAAGAGTTTTTCCTAAATCATCCAATATTAACTGTATAAATTATTTTTCAATGTGAATTACAATAAAACCCATGATAACAGCTGTTACATAATTTGTCATGCATTTAGCTCATTTCCTGGTTCTTCTTCCTGATTTTAACAGAACAAATTGGAACGTTTACTCATGCATGAAGCATGGGCTTAACAGGTGTTGGAATTGGTGAAATTTTGCTACTTGATTTTCTAAAAAGACAGTTAGCAAGGGTGTTGCTTATTTCACCAAAAGTGGTGTTAATGAACCTAAAGCATAACTGGTTATAAAACTGTGAACAAAGAGGTTTTTAATTGAAACAAACAGTCAATCAATTATCAATGCTGAGTCAGTAGGAAGGTTAAAGACCCCGAACTTGTAGGTCTTGAAGGAGTCCCTGGATTTTAACCAAATGACAAATATCAGCCATTAGGTATGTAGCCTATCTGTGATTACTAAACATAATGGGTTTTTGCACAAATACTTAATATCATATCAACCTCTACCTTTCAGTTTTAAAGAAGCGAATATATGTTTGAGAGATTTCCTACCTTGCCTTCCTCAATACTGTTATTTGTTGTACAATGGGAAATTTAATTTGGGCATGCCAAGTGTCATAACCTAGAATTGAGTGTTTTTCCCATTTCTGAGAATCTTTAAGCGAATGGTGAAACTCATATATATGTTAAGATAACACTAAATGTCTTGCTCTCTTTACTTATACCATTGCCATTTCATAGAAGAAGAAGAAATAAACTGATTTCACATAGTTCATTACTTCTGTGTTGGTTCTGGAAACCATTCTGTAAATCAAATTTTACTTGGCAAATTTCACTCTTAAGCTATCTGCACTGTTTTTTAATTTTTACATATTTACTATTTTCTATCGAGAGTAGCGGAAATTATTTAATGTCATGTTCTACTGCCATAAGTCATTTTCACTTATGTATAATTTATACAATCAGAATTTTTAATTTATGATGGTTTTATGTAAAGTTGAATTTGTGTAATTGGTACCTAACCTAGGCAGTGCCTGTATAGATGAACAAACATTTCTGCTTTAACCTTTCTATAGGGAACTGTTCCATACAGACTTTTATCACTATTGTCTGTTACAGTCACGCATTTTTGTAGAACCTTCCTTTTTTATAATAGGACACTTTGTCTCACTTTGGGCTGAGGATTTTATTTGTTCTCTTTATGTCAATATTACAGTTGTCTGCAGGTATTTTTAAGAGCTTTGAACAATAGTTTTTTAATTCAAGCAAAAGATAAATATTAGAATCATGTGACATGCTCACTCTACTGGAAACAGAATGAAGTCATCCTTCCACCTCCTTATAGCTATCAGGAAGCAAACTAAAACCTTAAAAGCAGGCTAGCTTGAAGAACGGTTTAGGTGTTTGTATTTCACCTGTTAGAGAATGAAATGTTTTATTTACCTGACACTCTGAAACTCTAGAAACTTTTGTCCGCAGGAGCCCTAACCAAAGTGAAGGAGAGCCAGAAGCATGTGGAGGAGGGGAAGATGGAGTCTCCGCAGGCTGAGGGCATTAATGAGCGCTGCAATATCATCTCCTTCGCCACGCTAGCGGAGATCCAGCATTTCCACCAGATCCGTGTACGGGATTTCAAGGCACAGATGCAGCATTTCCTACAGCAGCAAATCTCCTTCTTCCAGAAGGTGACGCACAAGCTGGAGGAGGCCCTGCAAAAATACGACAATGCCTAGACCCTAGATGGACTTTCACCTCTCCCCAACTTGTGGCCTTTCACTTCTGAAAAAAGCCAGATGGAATTAATGAGCATTGCTTTAGCAATACAATCTTTACAGAGAAAAGCACCCCCACCTACTGCATTCAAGCAAATTCTTACCAGCATCTTGGATTCATGACTTCTGTTTTGATTGCCTCTGTCGAGGCAGTTCTGGAAAACGGATTGGTTTGCAGGCGTTTTAGCTCCTCCTTAGTGTGCAGAAGAACATTTCAAAGACATTTGAGGTTCCATATTTGAAGAATAACCTTGCTACAGTAAAATCTGCAGAGTTTTTATTACCAAGATAAAAATCACTGCAGTGTTTGGTAGGTATGTGTGTAGGTGAGTGGAGGGGAGGTTTTAACATATTCCTGTATTAGAAAAAAAAATATTGTGAAGGCAAGTTATATTTTTGCTTACACTACCAATGTAACTGTTGAAGACTGTAATATTATAAGCCTTATTTCCTTGTTCAGAAACATCTTTTGATATTTAGTACTTACTAAGCACCCAGAAGGGTGCTCAGATTAAAAGTATATAAACCATACCATTGACTGGCCTTTATCCGTTGCCTTGGATAATCAATCTGAATGAATGTGATCCCTCATAATCTTTAAAAAGTAAAGAAAAAATGTTTACAGTTTACTACCAGAGCAGCTATTGCTACTGTCTTGTGCCTTTTAACTTCCTGTCTTTATTGTTCCTGACTTAATAGTGTGATCTTAAACAATCAAGATGCAAAAACAGAACTTTCTGGCCCTGTAAGTTAGTTTAGGAATAAGAATCTGATGTCTTGATAATTTAAGCTGTCATTTATGATTCTTTCCCTTTGAGGAAAATTATAGACAGCTGTTTCTGCATATATACTTATGCATAACTCGGTATATACAGAACAGAGATTAAGAACAAGGATGCTTCACAGGATGGTTTTCATTCACTTTAAACAGTGAAACAGGATTGGAGGGTTGGATCAGCTAATAATTATGAAAAAAAGGACTGGAATGTTATAAAGTATTGGAATATAAAGACTTTGCATGTTTTTTTTTGGATGCACCAGCAATCACAGACTGTGTAACCTCACCATAAATACTCATAGCACTGCCAGTAATGCCAGTAATAGTTTATCCTTGTGGGGTAGGGTTTGCTGGTTATAGGGCTTGCTGTTAACCAAATCCAGTGGTTTGTGCACCCCAAGTGAAATGTAGCCAATTAGTCAGAATCGTAGGTCTTCAAGGCAGAAGAACAGTCGGGCAATACACATTGTGAGATGAATGCTCAATATCTGAAACATTCTACTGTAATTTGTAGTGCAGGAGGCATGAAATACGGTTTAGTATAGCAACTGCAAAAACACAATAAACTCCATCACAGATTGGTTGTCTTGTGTTACTATTGTTGAGGTGTTACCCTCACTACAAAGGAGAATATTTCACTGATTCTTGTTGAGAACAGCTTAGTCAAAGTGAGAAGTGGATAGAAAGATGCAGCTTTAGGTTTGGATAAATTCCATAGAGAGCATTCTGTCAAATTCTATATTATTCCATTAAAGTGCATGTGATTTCTTATCTGTGTAATGCACATTAGATTATTTCATTATGAAAGTATAAATGTCAATCATTTTTTCTCTCAGGTTACAATTCCGGAGTGAATAACGAAAAGCATAACCGTGGTATAATGTGGGTGTTGTTGAGAAAATACTATGTAAAACACTAGGCTGAGCTCTTGGGTTCAAAATGCACACTTAGAGAATCTCTTTCCATGAAAGTCATTCAAGAATTTAGATCTGCAATCAAGCATATTTTTACAGTGAGTGAATGTACAGTATACCTCCAAACATCATTGTTCAATTTTATAGAAAATAATAGCAAAGAGTAAAATTAGTGAATTGAGGTGAACACATTTATCCTCAAGAAATTTAATATAGAAACAAAACCAAATGTGAAATATTGGCCAAATAGCCAGTTGTTAACTCAGAACTCCACTTTACATTTATGTGAATTTATAGAAGAAAATGTTCAGTTTAGTTCTTCATGTATGGAACACAGGAAGGTAAATGGAAAAAAGAAAATGCTTGTCCTCTCTTCATCTGTGATCAGCACTCTTCAACAGTGCTTGAATTGCTTTTGCTTTGATGGTGAGGAGCTATGGATGTAACAAAAAACTGAAATTGTTGAGAAATGTGCGGGTTTTTCTTTAGTACTGTAACTGCTTAAGCCTAGAAGTTGCAAAGATAAAGATCTCTCAAACTTGTAACCTGAAGAGTACAGACCTACACAAGTGAGCTGAAACTAATCTTTCTAAATGTTGAAACTGTGTATACTGCTTTTAATGTTCAGGATCTGAATTAAAAGACAAAACATTTTATACTGGTGTTTCAAATTTCTGAATTTTATCCTTTTTGAGGTTGTGATTTTTTTTTAACAAGGATATGCTGGGTAATTTCATGATGTTGAAGCAGAAAGCTATTTCTTAAACTAATAAAAATATTTCCTGTACTCTTTTATAAAATGAGGCAAAATACTAAATACTAGTCTACTGATTTTTTATTTCAAGGGATCTCTAATGGCTCTGTACTTACAGTGTGAATGCTTTTTTTACAATAGTTGATACAGAAAATGGATAGTGGGGTATGCAATTAAAATCAGCCTTGTACAGTATGTGGTAAAAGTCATGAACTTTGTCTTGCTCATCATGCTGCTGAATACACAGTGCAAGACAGACGCTAGGTTTGGGAAATGAGATCACATTTAAAGAAATCCAGTCTCAAGGCATTTTGCATATCTGAAACAGGAAGTGTGTCAGTCTTTGCAATGTGGAGAACAGCTGACTTTGAATAAATGCATAGTATGACAACATTTTTTTATTGCTGAATAAGCCACAGTTAATATTAGGCTTAAACACTTGAGCCAAAGTGAGTTCTGCATTATTTTAAAATTTTGAAGAATAACTTAATTGTAGTTCACATCTAGCTCTAAGAAAATATATGTACAGTATATTAAGTACACCAATGACCCTACAGCATGTGCTCTGACAAATTGTCAGACTGTTAAAGCAGCCTTGTTATGAAGCAGGTATTGAGGGTAGCATAAAAATAAAATCATGGTGTCCTGCAGGACAGCCATTATTCCTACTTAACGGTTCTTTACTGAGGTTAAAACATGGACAACATATTTCACTCTTTGTGGAAAATGTCACATCAACATCAAGGTTAGTACTCTGCCTGGGAGAGACCACTAGTGATTAAACTAGCATTTCAAACATATCATAAAAGCGAACTAGAAGAAAGCCAACATCAGTATCAGCTCCTTGGAGATTATGGGCCTTGGTTGGAATGAAAGGGAGAAAGAATATCTGGGAATCGAAGGTATGTTAATGAGGAAGCCAGAGTGTGCAAACTCCATATTGGTCATATCAGTCACTTTTGCGTTCATTGTAAGATGATCATTCTTGACTATCATTGATATTAGTAAATATTTTCTTTGCAATGGCCTCTATTGGTGCATTGCACAGCTCTGACATCCAGTACCTATCCTGAAACCTTGCCTAAGAAATGACAAATAGGAAAACACTAAGTTTGCAAAAAGATGTATTTCAGTAATGCCTGGGATCATGTTTTCCAGTTTCATATACTGTATGTATTAATACTGTTGATTGGGTAGATGCCCTAGCTGTCAACAGGGCTGTGAATGGGACTAATGTCATATTTGTGACAGTGAACTTTCCATCAGAATGTTGGCAAAACACAGCTGAGGTTCTGTTACCGGCAATCCATGGTTATTTGCTTGAGATATTAACTCATGTTTTCTGTGTTGTAGTAAAACAGTATATAAACTGATTAAAAGCCATGAGGGCTTTGCAGTGTCTCACCTTTAAATACAATTTGAACACACGTCTAATGAGAATCACATAATTTGCATGTGATAACATTTTTCACCTGCAGAACTGGTTAGTCTGCTGAGTACTGATGTGTTACTTGCAATTTAGTGTTTTCGATGTATTTGAAAAGAACTATCATCAGAAATTATTTCCATTATTATTTACTTCATGTAATGTTCTTTAAAAATCAGTAGAAATCCTTTTTACTGCTGTCCCCTTAGTGTAATATTGCCAGAGATCTTAGATTTTAAGGGACATACTTTATTTTTATAATTACCTGTTCTGTCCTCAATCTTTTTCAGAGTTCACTGTTGCATAGAGACATTTTCTACTATTGTTCACATGCACAAATCCTAAATATTAGATTCATGTTTAAATTGTTGGAACAGGTGTCTTCTCCCAGCAACACATACTGTAGAAAGTGATTAAAATAAAATGTAAAAATGAAAAGTAGGAGACCACAAGTTTGTGTATGCTATTATGCTGCATCAAATTTCTGTTTGCATGTTCCGAACAGTTTTAATATTAGATCTCAGTTCAATAAGGAAATTAAACCTAAAAACCTGTAGAAATAATCTAATCTAGCAGTAAATTGTGACTTCAGCCTTTTTAACGTTTTGGAAAGCATGGGAATGAAAACCTTTTATGTGGGATTAGGTCTTCTGCAAATCTGAAGTTTTGGTTGGCTTTATGAATTTATCCATGAAACTAATCGTAATAAATGTCAAATTAAAAAGCAAGTGTGTTTTGCAATTATATCTTTATATAAATCAATGTTTCTGTCTAAAATACTACTGACTGTCTCTTGCATTGTAGAAAACATGGTCTTGTTTTAGATCATATGATACTGCACTAAAGGAAATGCTTCCCATCTGCTTTGTAAGCTGGAAAACAAATGGTTCACAATGCTGAAAAGTTGCTGATGCAAGCTGAAAGCCGTAATTCTGGCATATGGTTTTCATTTTGTGGGAGTTAAGTAAGATTCATTGTCTGTGAAAGAATCCTATTGGTACAATGTCTGACAGTGGCACTGATAACAAAAAGCTTTTGTGGTTAAGAAAAGTCATTTGAAAATACAGTCTTCATTTGAAGAAAGCTTTTTACATGAAGAAGTCATTTTTTTTTGTTGCAGAGACAGTACTTAATGTGGATTTGCTTGCATGTGTGGCTTTCTTCACACTCACTGTAATAAAATATGAAGTTTGAACGTACCAATTCAAATAATTTAGCTTGTTTAAAGCTAGTTAAATGCTCTTAAGTTACAATACCTCTTAGATTCTGCCTTCATAACTTGTGGCATGTTAGGGGAAACTACATCAGCCAGGAGTGTAACAGTCAGATGATATATGAGGTTTCAGTGACATGGGCCTCTCGTTTAGCTTTTCGGGTTTTCAGTTGGCTGAAATTCCTGCCCTGTACCCTCCTCAGTGTTTGGCACTTCTCCATTCTTAGCACAGGCCAGAGCTGGTATGACAGGCTGCACAATGGTTGTGACTGCAATCAGGCCCAACCTTGATGGGGGCCCAGTGCTGGAGCAAGGGGGGCCGATACCTAAATCTCCTTCCCCCTGCAAAGCAAAACTCCAAGAGGGTGCCCAAATTAACAACTTGCAACTTGCACCAGGGCCCAGGTGAATGAAGCACTGCTACTGGCTATAAATAACAGCTTCCTGCCAATTTATTTCCCAAGTAGTTTTAGGACTATGAAATCTTTCTGCATCTATTATGAAAAAGAACATTTGATAAGATGCAGGGATGATGAGCTGTTTTAAACTCTTCTAGTTAAAAAATGAGGCAAAAGGCCAAAAGACTGCTGGCCTTTTGTTCTTTAGAATTGTTTATTGTACACTTTTCCTAGCACTTTCCTCCTTGTATTACACTCCTCCAAGTTTTGATGCCACTATGATCATGTTTAATTTCTAAATTAAATTAATAAACAATAAAGAATAAGTTTTGGACTGTGAGAGGAAACCCTAACAAACACAGGTGGTCTCTACACATATAGTACCCCAGTCCAGAAATGGACCCAGATTCCCAGCACTGCAAGGCATCAATGCTAACCACTGCACCTCTGTGCCTCCCACAGTTCAAGGTATTTCACACAAAAATAATTCACTGTACTTGATAATTTCTTTAACTGGTAGTGTTGCCTACTCCAAACCCTCCTTATGGAAGGAATCATCTGAGAAGTGAAATAGCTGCAGAAAATTGTTATTAACCCCTTTGAAAAAAATACGTAGAAAGACTGTTTTCATTATTACCACCTAAAAATACTGATACCCTTTGGCATAAAATGCTTAGTTAATCTGATTTGCAAAGACTTTTTATTTGGTGAATTTCTTCTACGTTATGTCTTATTAATTTTTTTTCCCAATACCTGTGTGCCTTAGAATCTATTTATTGCATTAACAATAGCTTCTGTTCTATTAGAAGAAACATACTCTATATATTTATGTTACGCACTGTACCTTTCTCACCTTTGTTAACCTATGTAACACACTGAATGATTTCCCACCAAAATTTAGGTCTGGTAGTCTAGTGAAATAATACGGTAAATGCAAAACGTCAGTTTTTATGTCTGTGTCTGCATGCCACTTCTCTATGATAAATTTCTGTTTTCCATTATCTTTTCCTTGATATCCTTTGATCTGTAATATTTTTTACTTTTGCTACCCTTTGAATTTTTCTGACATATTTCCCCAGTGCCTCAAGGATGACAGGATTGGATCTGATTTCTTTTTCCAGGTTTTTCAAGTTTTATGTCTCAGGGGCTTTTTACTATATTTACAACAGTATTTACTCCAGTCCATATTTAAGAAAGTTCATGAGGGACAACAACATCTAAGAATCAGATGCTTTGTCTTTGGGCAGTTTTGGTTTAACTCATTTTGTTTAGGGGCAGCCACGTGGCCATAGAAAGAGGAGAGTTGAACCCAATTAAGAAAGAGGAGCTAAGCAAGGAGTAGCTATAAGGTGGATATGAGGTGGAGGAAGGCTGCATGAAATGTGAACAGAGGTGTTTGAGACATACATGTCTTATTTCAGTAATGATGGTGATTAGGAACAGCTGGGTGAGATTGTCTTGTCATCAATATCCCTCCCAAAATTCTTGTTAACCTATATGTAACTGCCTCTTTTCTTCTGGTTCATCTCATTGATTGAAAGGAATATGTTCAACATTGTTCTATCAGAATTAAATAAAAAGCCTTTTGCAAACAAGGAAGCATAAACCAGAAGTGTGAAGTTGTTTAAAACAGAAGAATCTTAAAATGTTTATTTTGTGGGTCACCTTCCCTGAAATGCACAATCCCTGTTTTAGAAGCACAGATCCATGTATCCCTTAATAATATATAGATTTATACCACAATAGCTGCTTTTTGAATTATAAACAGATCATTAAAATTCATTATGCAGAATAATCTGGTCAAGTGAAATATCTATTTTGGGCTTACTTGTAGCACCAGAACTGAAAGTTATTCCTCTGTCATC